TGAAGCAAAAGCCATGGATGTCAATCACTTCATGAAGAGACAAAGATAGAGCTACCACTAATCAACAAAGAACATGAAGACAGGCATAAAAACACACACACAATATTAGGTGCAACCGGTATAAGAGACATCTTGTACGGCCCGGTGTTTTTTTTTTTTTTTAAATGAGAATTAGAAATGTTTTATTAATTGAAAAGAGATTAAATATGAATCTCTGTATAAAGGCACTTAAAATTAAGTTAAAGTTATAATCTATAAAATTAAATATAGATAAAAATTATGCCCATAATAAATAAAAATAATTAAGTGCAGAGTGTTATTTATTTTTAGAGAATGCAATCACTATAGTAACATTTATAGTGTTACAAAAGTATAAAGAAAGTCTTGCACATTCGAAGTCACTAAACCTTCTCAATTGCAACATCAAGCTTTGGGAGATTAAGTAATTTAGCAAACAACAGTCCTCACTCAGTAAATGTTGAAAGAGAATTTGCACTAACTTATAGAAGGGTTGAAATCTCTCCTGTAGGAACCACCTAAGCGAAGCTCAAATTAATCCAAAAGATAGTCACTATCATGCTGCTATCCTCTTCAACTTGGGACAAAACCTAATTGATGAGCTAATTCCACTCTAGCAAGTGTACTAGTCTGTTCAAGTAATATAATGATGAAAATAGAGTATCGTCCCACAGAGACCGTAGACTAATTAAGTACCAAAATTAATAAATTCTAATTTTATTTGAACAATTGAAATTAAATGATTTGAATAAAGTAAATAACTAAACTAATTAAAGAAAAGCTAAATTAACTTTGATTAACACCAAGAATTAAAAGTCTAAAGCATCCGACTTCACCATCATCAACTAATATAGAATTTTAGATCAATATACTTTCAAAGTATTTATTATTCATGTGACAGCGGGATTTCCTAATTTATTCAATATACTTTCTCAAGTTATACCAAACATATCTTCACCTATTAACCCACTATATCTCTATGTGAATTTAAATGGATAAAGACGCATTATGTTCTATGAAATTCCCTAGTTTACGTAGAAAATTAAGTCCACTTATCACTAATGCTGCACAAATCATGTTGGTCCATCTCTGGCTTTCGTTCAATTCATGGTATATATTACTAAAAGCTATTGCATAAAATTTCCTCTCGGTCTCAATTATGCTCTTAAAATCAGTTTTAATGGTGGCCAATCATCAAAAAGCATTACGAACAATAATATATACTCAACATGAAATAATAACCCTTGAAAATATAAAAATCATGAAATTTTATATTAAATTGATCAGGCTACATCGTAGCCTTAGATGGCAAAATTAGTTCATACTAAACATGATAAAATCTGAGCTTAAATTGATGAACCACAATTCCATATCCAAACAAAGGAAAAAATAAGTTTAGAAGAGCAAAAACCCAATTTGTGAAACTCAGATCTGGAGCCCTTCACTGTCGCGCTTGTCCCCTTTGTTTTCGATTGAGGTGTCCCAGTGGCTGCCTTTGCGTCTGCCGTTACTCACACAGAATCTACGCAAGCTCTGCCTCAAATTCGCCTCAAAGCTCTCTGCTGGCTGCCTCTTTGATTTCTCTCGGAAGTCTCTTTGATTTCTGCCGTCACCTCTCTACCCCCAAGTCTCCAGCGGCTGCCCCTTTTTATATTCCATAATGTGCCTCTTCGTGCCCTTCTTTTCTTTTAAGCCCATCTTATCTCCACAATGAGATAAAGCCCACCATGTTTTTCCACGTGTATGCAGAAGACAAATTCAATTCTGGTCTTTGAAATGGGGAAATCATGGAATCAGACTTGATGTTTTCAACTTTTGTCACTTCAGCCCATTTACTCTCAATTTCTTTAGTTTTACCCTCTACCTACAAAGAATGATAAAAGCAATGTAAAACCAAATAAAATTGTTCAAATAAAATATAAAACACTACAATTCATGACTAAAAAGCCATGTATAATTGTATGAAATTTAGGCTCATCAAATTCCCCCAAACTTGAGTTTTGCTAGTCCTCGAGCAAAAATAAAAAATAAAATAAATAAAATAAATAAAATAAAACCTAACTCACTTTCGTAGGAATCACGATTGCACTTAGCATGTGCAACAAGCCTTTAAACCCCTAGGTCACCCTAGTGGACGAGTTGTGTCTCGTGAGGGTTTTCAGTGGATCTACCCACAAAATCCT